TAACCCGGGACTGACCCACAACATGGGAACCACAGTAAATTCGGGGCCTGTGTCTAGTTGATCGGGTCACACGCTCTTTGGACGAGGTCCAACAGCCGACGTTCCTCATGCCCCTTGATCCCTCGACCAAGGCAATGACAGCCGCCACAAGCACAGTATTGTGGGTTGTTTTTTGTGCATCTTGCTGTTTTTGGAGCTATGACCTTTAGTCAATTCGCCCAGGTGAGCTGTCGGTGCTTTACCGATCCGATTAGGACCAGAGATGTTCATTTTTTCCTCTCGATTTGGTGAGAGAACATCCATCACGTGGAAACAGTGAGTAGGGCTTACACGGTGGAGTCTGTATGAAACACTTTTGTTTGTATGGGCACGTTTCGCGAAGGAAAAGGGACCAGTTATACACTAACACTCTTAAACCAAAACCACACTGAGTTTTCTTTATGACTCAGTGGTACACAGACGGGATGGACCTCATAGTCATGAGGCCGTGTTATTCAGTCATGGCAACCGGTGACCGAAGCTCCGAGACTTGGATTGGCGAACCACATTGGGGCCCCGCTAGATCTTGGACCCAGACTCAGTGGGGGAAATCGCTACAGTCGCCACAAAAAGACTGCTCAACCCGTCCCGTATATCTGCACCATTTGCTGTCCTCCTTCAGTTCAGTAAATCAACTTAGACCAAGAGACAGCAGACTGCGTTCCCAACCAGATGCTGCACGATAGAAGAAAAACGCAGTTCAGAAGGCTGGTGTATCAAACACACAGAATGTGGGTTGCGTGCGGTACATTGCAATCAAAGTTAAGACCTACACAGAGCATGCTAATCAAAATTACAAGCATGAAACGAAACTATTCGCTATTCATTTTTCTACCCATGTTGGCTCTACTTTCTCCATACTTAGGCGGTCACTTGGACTTGTTACCAGAAGAACATTAAGAAAGAAACATTCCGTGATTCCTCTCCATTCTTTGCACTCAGTTCAGTTCAGTTTTTACAACCATTAACCATGCACTTTCGTGCGCCGGTTTTGGTTGCTGTCTTTCGGTTGCCCATTTGAATAAAAGAGCGAAGTGAAGATTGGAATGTCGAAGCAAATTCAAGCGGAAGGTGGGGAATTCATATAGAGTGGTGTTAGGAGAATAACGAGTGGATGCACGAGCGCCACTGTTTGCGACACCCAGCCATATCACTCAGTGTAACTAACCATCGGTGACCATCATCCCGAGGTCCCCAGCCAGGGAGCCTGACGGGGCCTATGTGACCTAGTCTCCTGGCTAGGGTTTTCATACCCTAATGCCAGGTCTTAGTTTGACCACCCTTTATCTTTTTCCAATCGCTGTCAGCCTTGGCAAACGTTCGCCGCAGCAACCGATGTTTGCCATGGCTGGTAGCGAGAGTGAGTGCAAAGAATGCACTCACTCACACGAATACGTCGAATGCTTTCGGGACAGGGGAGAGCCTGAAGATGATGCCAGTAGAAATGCAATCGGATTCCGTAGTGGGAGTGAAGCATTTTGAAATGATCACACTTGGTTTCTTTTTATACCTTTCTCAAATGTTTGCCACAATGAACATGTAAACGTTCGGTTCTACTTCCCAAGAATTACGTGTCAATACTTGCTATCTCTAACCAAAGTCTCAACCCAACATAGCAAGCCTCAGGACTAGCGCATACAAAATTGATCGAATAATCGGCAATAAATGTTTCTGTTGCACTTCTGTGTAGTTTACCGGCCGCTGTTACATACAAGGTACCATTGTCGTTTGAAATTTCGTTTTGTTCTCCTTGGTCGGACTACTTCAGGGATTTGGTGTTCGTGAATGTGAAATGGAGGTTTCCCGGGAAATGAGTTATCTCAAAAGGCATGACGCCTCGGGCCCAGACGGGCTCTGCCCATCCGTTTTTAAGGATGGAGGTAAACCTCCATCCTTTAGCCTTGGTTTCGGAGTTAACAAACCTCCTGGGCTCAGTGTGGAAGAGAGAACAGGTTCCATCTGAGTGTTGTGAATCGTTCATCATACCGGAAAGGTGACAGATCCTCTAGTGAAAACCACAGAGGAATTAGTTTAATCAATATTGCTTCCAAACTCCGTCGTTTGTCTGCCGCACGTGAACGGTGTACGCGTGAGAACCAGGCTGGTTTTAGACCTGGTCGAGGTTGTGTCGACCACATCTTCGTTCTTCGCTAAACTCTGGAGCACTGACATTTTTTTCGTAGACCATCATCTCTGTCTTCCTAGATCTGAAAGTGGCCTTCGACTCAGTCGGCCGCTCTAAACTTCGCCGCTACCCTTCCTTGAAGGGTGTGCCCGAAAATCTTATTT